GAGAATTCCAATCTCTCTCTCTCTCTCTCTCTCTCTCTCTATATATATATATATATATATATATATATGCTGAATCGGAAAAATTATATTCCCCAGAGGAAAAAGATGAGAATGGCTGAACTTAGGTTGGTTAACATTTATTAAGATGCTCATCAGCATTTAGCTAATCGAAAGTGGTCCGATTTACTGATAGCAAAAGTTATCATCAGTTTTCTAAATGCTCAAACTGAACTCATCATTCTTTTATATCTCATTACATGAATAACCAAGCTTGAGCATTGTAAAATTTGTAAGCATGATCTAAACCTAAAATCATCCAAAAAAGAAGAATCTATCTATCTATATCTATAATCTATAATCTATCTATCTATCTATAATCTATCTATCTATCTATATCTATCTATAATCTATAATCTATCTATCTATATCTATCTATCTATAATCTATCTATATCTATAATCTATATCTATAACTACCACAAAAGTATGAGTTATTTCTTGAAAATTTTGAATTACCCATATTACCCTCAAAAGATGTTACTTTAAATGATATAAATGTAATTTGTGATTTTATATTAGAATTGATTATGGTGATTTGTAACTTCTCCAACCACATTTAAATAGAAACTTGAATTGCCAATACTATCCTTAACAAAAATGAACTTAACAAAAATGAAATGTAATTTTTGTTTGAAAGATATAAACGTAATATTATAAATTTAAATTAAAATCACATTACAACTACACACCTATTTTCTTTTTTATAAATATATGTTGCCTAACTCTTCCATTTCTCTTAATCATAAACAATTCTTTTTCATGCATATAAAATTTATATTAATCTCATCCTAGCTATTATTCTTCATCATCTACAAATATTAATTTATTTATTACAAGAGTATACATAGTTCCAGTTTAGGGCATCACCTTCTAAAAATGTTGGTCCTGTTCAATCACAAATTGATGCAGATAGAATGCCACTAATTTATATGTCATATAAATATTTTCTATCTATAATCTATACTACCATAAAAGTATGAGTTATTTCTTGAAAATTTTGAATTACCCATACTACCCTCAAAAGATGTTACTTTAAATGATATAAATGTAATTTGTGATTTTATATTAGAATTGATTATGGTGATTTGTAACTTCTCCAACCACATTTAAATAGAAACTTGAATTGCCAATACTATCCTTAACAAAAATGAACTTAACAAAAATGAAATGTAACTTTTGTTTGAAAGATATAAACGTAATATTATAAATTTAAATTAAAATCACATTACAACTACACACCTATTTTCTTTTTTCTAAATATATGTTGCCTAACTCTTCCATTTCTCTTAATCATAAACAATTATTTTTCATGCATATAAAATTTATATTAATCTCATCCTAGCTATTATTCTTCATCATCTACAAATATTAATTTATTTATTACAAGAGTATACATAGTTCCATTTTAGGGCATCACCTTCTAAAAATGTTGGTCCTGTTAAATCACAAATTGATGCAGATAGAATGCCACTAATTTATATGTCATATAAATATTTTTCAAATGAAATTGTTATTAAATAGTGAGATTATAATTAATTTAAGTCTCACACATAAAAAATAATAAGTATCAAGCCAAATAATAAATATTAGTTTTAATTTGTAATACATGTTATTTAAAATTACCTTCACCGTGGTTTATTTTCATCACTATGCCTTCAAATGTTACTCCTATCTATCTTGATAGTTATAAAACAAATTACATGTAATGGAGAGTTTATAATTTTCAAATTCAATAAATGGAACTATAATTTAGGACATTTTATCATTCCAGTACTAATTAGTAATTCCAACTTAATGTAATGCATATGATTATTTGATATGTGATAGATAATTGTAGTTGTAGTCTATTCAAAGTGTAGGCAGATGAGTTATAAAATCATCACTATCAACACCAAATGGTCATAAATGTTCACTGTCATCTTCAAATTTTAGTGAAAACCCACTGAAGTATACATCATGTATAACAAGTTAATACATTCATAATCAATATTTTTTTTAAGTAAAATTACAACTTTTATGTAATAAACAATCTACCTATTTTTTAGTTTGATTAAAATAAAGCAAAATAAATTTAACATGTTTTTTCAGTGGATTGAAGTTTATTTTCAAATAACTATCTTAAAAAGGAGACTTGTTTCTTGAAAAAATTGAATTGCCAAAAATGTCATATGCTATAATTAATTCTAAAGCAAATAATGTAATTTGCCACAACTTGTTGGGAGTTACAAATATTAATAGTTACAATCATTTTTGCAATCAATTATTTTTCATTCTACTTTACTTTATTATTTGTTTTATCTATGATCTTTTATTATATTTTTTACATATTCAATAATGTAATTTTTTTTAGTTGATATAAAGATGTTAAGATTATCTAAACAAATATGTAAGTTAGAAATAAAAAATAGAATAAACATTGACGGAAAATGTAGTTTTTCAATGTAAGAAAAAGATTATTTTTAAGATTTTTTAAAAATAAAATAGAGTTTATAATTTTCAAATTCTAAAAAATGGAACTATAATTTAGGACTTTCTATCATTCCAGTACAAATTAGTAATTCCAACTTAATGAAATACATATGATTATTTGATATGTGTAGATAATTGTAGTTGTAGTCTATTCAAAATGTATTAATCTTTTAATTAAATTAAATGAGGGCAGATGATATCCAATCTAATATATATTTTTAATATTAATTATAACTGAATGGTCATAAATGTTCACTGTCATCTTCAAATTTTAGTAAAAACTCACTGAAGTACACATCATGTATAACAGTTAATACATTATTAATCAATATCTTTTTAAAGTAAAATTACAAATTTTATGTAATAAACAATCTACCTATTTTTTAGTTTGATTAAAATTAAGCAAAATAAATTTAACATGTTTTTTTAGTGGATTGAAGTTTATTTTCAAATAACTATCTTAAAAAGGAGACTTGTTTCTTGAAAAAATTGAATTGCCAAAAATGCCATATGCTATAATTAATTCTAAGGCAAATAATGTAATTTTGCCACAATTTTTTGGGAGTTACAAATATTAATAGTTACAATCATTTTTTCAATCAATTATTTTTCATTCTACTTTACTTTATTATTTGTTTTATCTATGATCTTTTATTATATTTTTTACATATTGAATAATGTAATTTCTTTTAGTTGATATAAAGATGTTAAGATTATCTAAACAAATATGTAAGTTAGAAATAAAAAATAGAATAAATATTTACGGAAAATGTAGTTTTTCAATGTAAGAAAAAGATTATTTTTAAGATTTTTTTAAAATAAAATATAATTTATTTCACAAGTGTAAAATATATAATGCACCAATGAAAGTATCATCTCTAATTTCTACTATAGATTTTTTGGTTATTGTATTAAAAAAATAAAAAAAAAAAGTAAAAAATATTGAACATGCATGTGTTTAAGAATGATTGAATGAAAAATAACTCTTCCAACATATAGAAAAAGTCAGTGTTTTTGTGGAAAAAAGATTATTTCTTAGGTGAAAATATATAATCTTAATAAAATTATTTTGTTCATATTATTCACTAAAACAATATGCATAATACGATTTAAGTTTACATAAATTAATCTACCATTTATTTAAATTGTAATATAAATAAAAATAGAGTAATTAGTAAAATAAAATAAAATAATTAAAACTCATACATGTACTTGTTAGAAAATATATAGTTGTATTTAAAATAAATTAAATAAAAGTAAATAGTACATTTAGTTTAAATTAATATTCATTAGCCAATCTTATTTATAAAATCATCCATAAATTATAATTTTCAAATCACTTCCTTTATAAAAATATTGACAAATATATAAAATAATTTTAAGATAAAAATAAATATGAAAGAATCATCATTTTATAATTAATTTAAAATGGAATTATTTAATTATCACTGTTAGGATGGTTTCTTGAAAATCCGAAAATGATAATGCATGCACGACAAAGTTAAGAGATACAACAACAATTTATTTTAATTTGAACAATATATATAGATAGGTTCCTTCAATCAACCAATGTTACGACAATATATAGATAGATGAGTACCTTTAATTAAGGATGTTATTGTTCCAAATAATTACCAAGTAAATTTTCTTTTTTTAAATAATTATGACTTTAAAGATATTTTCAAATATTTATATCTCTTATGTCATTATATCAAGAGAGAAAATATATATCTAAATATTATATAATATTATAAGTGCAATATAATTGAATTTGCAACCGTATAATTGAAATAATAGAGAACAAAACATTCAACCATAGTGTGTTAGCATACAATCATCAATAAAAAATGATAATTACCAATTATAGTATATCAAATTAGAGTTATTTTTCAAGGGTATGACGAAAAAGAAAGACATTAAAAAACTATATTATATTGACAATAGTAATGTCATGATTTTCAGCATAATGTCGATATCATTAAATAATAAATCAAAGACGACATAGATTTCTTTAGCATTTAAAATTTCACAACATAATATCAACTCTATTTTGGATTTCTAACTCAATATTTATTTATTTAATTTTATTTGTCATAGAGTTTGTTTAATACTATTTAATAGTATATTTTTTTTATTCAATATATTTATTATTGTTTCTTATAAAATTCACCATTTTTTTGTTAAATAATGGAAAGTAAATTAGATTATACTATTAAATTAAATCTAATATTAAAATAATTTTAAGTAAAAAAAGTAATAATATCACGTGCGTAGCACGTGCATCTTCCTAGTAAAATAAAAGTACCTGGATTTCTGAAAGTATACTTCCGTGCATTGCCATCACCATAAACGCACAATGCCTAAGGGCACCACTAACTTTAACATACTCACTCCATGGATAATTGAACATCTTGTAACGACCGTGAGGTGGTTCCCAAATGGCAAAACCTAACTAAAAAAAACAGATAAAAAGACTAAATTTGACTTCCTTCAGAATGTGGATTATTTTAGCAAGCATAAAAAGTTCAAACTAGTAAAAAAATGTACCAAAGACTCTTCTTGGCTAGTGGACTCGACTGCAGTTCTGTATCCCTTGTATAGAGGATCATCTGAAGCCTGATAAAGTAATATCTTCGAAGGAATTCTCGTGTATTCTACACATTGTAAGTACATATTCACACAACCTACAGAAATAAAAGGCCAACAAAAATGCATCAGCTCACAATTTTTTGGCTCTACAAACTTATAAATTTGCATGATTTATTACAAAAACTAGTCCATTGATTTTAGTCTAGTTCCAAATAACTACAAGCTTTCTATATAGGCTTACCCTCAGGGGTAGTTTTGTAATAACCTAATACTAGAGAGGATAGTTCCGAAGCATTTTGCTTCTAAACAAAAAATCACCTTCGAGAGAAGTGGCGACACCCTTGAAATTTTTCACCACGAGTTTATGCAAATCCTCGCCAGCCCAAATGGGATAAATACAAACATTTATGAGCAAACAAACACCGGCCCCAACTGCGATTAGCAGCAATCTAGAAACAGCTGTCT